GGCCAGGAGGTACTGAGTGAGCAGCTGTACTTGGGGCAGTTCGAGGCCGGCAGCGTCAGGAGGGCGGGTGTTGCAGACACTAAAATTACCCCGCTTGTGTCAATACATTTCAAACTATTAATATAATATAGTTTAAAAATCTCGTGACAACGAGTGTCAATAAACACGGTGGTTCGATCTGAAGTGTACACATTGTGACTAGAAATTGTCCGAATTTTCACAATTGATCACTATATTTCTAACATAAAATTATCTGCTCTCGCCATTAGGAATAATTCAGGACAGGGATGACTAATGTGGTCACGAGCTCATCGAATTTAAAAGTATTGAGTTCGATATAATTTAATAAAACGCAAAGAAGTTACAGCAGATTGGCATTTGAACATGTAATAATCATGAGGCAAATATTACATGAATGGTTACAAAAATCAGATCCATTAAATATTATTTAGATTTTTCCATTCGAGATGCATTACAGGGCGTTTCAGTAAGTTCGCTTAGCTTAGATCATGAGAAGGAAAATTCAACCGAGCCATCACATAGATCATCAGTTACGAATTCGTCAGTTCACGCAACATTGAATGTTAAAACGCTGTTATAACGCGCCTGGTAGAACGCGTGAACTACCTACCAAACGGTGATTTCTTAGCTTATAAAATTTTTTTGCGATTTGAATTCGCTTGAGAGATTTTTTTTCATTTCACCGTCATTTTTGATTTCACACTTCCTTATATTCGGCCCGTATCGCCGGGTAATTTGTTACTTAAATTCGCGGCGATCAAGAAATTTCTTCAACACTACAGAACAGATTTCAACGAAACTTTGTATATAATTACCTAACCTCTCAACGGTGATGTTCAGCTCGTGACTTTTTTTTATTGTGCTTTCGTTCACGAGCTATACAGATATAGGAGGAACGACCGGCTTTTCTACCGGTCAGTTTAACCAAGAGCCGTATACGTATAGCCGTATAACTCGTAAACGAAGGCAAAGCGAAAAATTGTAAAATCACCGTTGCTGAGGTTAGGTATTTAAATACTGTTTCGTTCAAATCCGTTCAGTAGTTTGGAAAAAATTTCTTGATTACTGCGAATTTAAGCACGTATTGCTGTTTAAATCACCAATGAAAGTGAAAAAAAACTTGCAACGAAGGCACAATTGAAAAAAATTTTACGAGTTAAACATTACCGTTCGGTAGTTAGGACTGTAAATTCGAAATTTCGTTCGAATCTGTTCAGTAATTTGGGAAGAAATTACTTGATCACTATGAATTTCGGCCCGTACTGCACTATAACTATGGCAAAAACAAACGATGGCAAAATTCGAACAATTTTCACCAGCAAAACATTATCGTTAGGTCCTAATGAATACGTGTANTTATGGTTGTTAGGTGGCAATTGAATCCTCAATATCATGTATTATACGGTTTTATTTACGGTCGGCGAGTAACGTGCAATTCGCTGCAGGCTGGCGGCTTATGTAGCATTGACGGTAGAACAGCTCATACACGTGATGAAATTGTAGTATTTTTTGCTGTCTAAAAGCCTTGAGAGTAAATGCATGCACTGCAAATGGTTAGAACTACCTTAAATTTAAAATTTTTCTATTAATTTCAAATGGGGCCTTTTTGGGCCTTTTTTGTGAGTCAAATTGGCCTTTTTCTCTTGGCTCCATCTGGCAACCCTGGTATCTCTCACGGCTCACTTCTAGACTAGCAGCTGCTCCGGTAGGATCGTGCAACATCAAGTCAGCACCAACAATACACACATTGCTGCCTCTGTCACAACATCATTGTAGAATCATTGGTGGATTGTAGAATAATATTTTAATCGAACGTATTTCATATTCAATCTAAAAATCAAGGATTTCTTCATTAGATTCATCATTAAATATATGAGTGCATCACAATTCCAACGTTATAACGAATAAATCTTCCCAGGTTTGACTTCGACTGAAAATATTTTAAAATAATAAATTTAAAATTGCGTGCGCAGAATGATTTGAATGAGAAAGCAATGAGATTTAAATAGATTTGATTGAATGTTTGCAAATTTACCGGTTATTAATAAAGTAGTGAACATATTGAACTGTTGAGTGGAAATGAAATGCAACGTGAGTTATAAGCAATAAAATTTTGAAATTTTAATGTTCTGATTTACTGTCTACAGTGTATATATATATAATACTTAGTACTAGTGCTATTAATTCTAACTAGTCAATAGAGCGATAACTCTTTTCATATCACAAATTGATAAATTATAAATCACACATGAGATATGTTAAATAAGATTTAAAAACACATCATTTCAATGTATATTAAGGGTATAGATATATTGATCCCAAATAAATACACGAAAGAAAAAAAAAACAAAAAAAAAAAACACATAAAAAACGTTTTTTTTAATAAAAAAAACACTCTGGAGAAAAAAACGTTTTTTTTGCATCTCTACGAAAGACCCGTCGTAATGCTAACACAGACAGTGCACAAAAATACTAAGATTTTCCTCCGTGAAGAAATAAAAATCACTCGATAAATAATAATGGAACACCAGAGAGCCACACAAAAGCATACAACTCAATTTCCACCCGCTCTTGGTAAAAACACTACCGAGTATTTCACAGACACAAGTGGTCACCAAAGTGCTTGCACCTCTACCTCGCCTCTCTAATTAAGACCTAGCCATTAAATACAAAATGTTTCCCAGCAGTAGGCCCAGTGCATTTAACATTTCATCGAAAATTAATATTAATCATCACACGCGCATTAAATGGAAAACAGTTTTACTTCAGGTTTCATGCCCTTTCCACATATTTCGCTTCCTCTTGTTATTCGATTTTATTTTTCTCCTGGCCATGATGTGCCACCGTTTCATCAGACGTTCTCAGCATCAGTGAAAATGCACCATTTGTTATCCAGTTGTTCGTTCACGAAAGCCTTACCTCGTCTGGCGGTCCCACTCCCGGTGATGACCTCATTGAGAGCCGCTTTCTGCTCCGCGGAGAGGCTGTCCCTGATCCCACTGTTCAGATTCATCGCCGTCGTGCCAGAAAGACTACGAATCTGATCCGGCGTCATCGCCTACAAGGATAACCATTGCGTGCGTAAGAATCATGTAAGCGCTTAAAAGACGCAAAAATTTTTCAGCAATTGTTCGATTATGAACATTGTGTACCTCAAACTCGGTTCCAAAGCGATCATATCACAATTTCCGCACCTTGTTCGTACTTTATGCTACAAATGCACCCTGTGATACATGCACGTCATACCAGTTCGCTTGGTATTTAAATCGATTACGGCGTGTCCTAATCGCATTAGGTTCGAGTCGTTTTATTTTTTTCAAGATAACATTTTTCCCCGAGCATTCTAAACCTCGTGCCTTTTATTCGGATCATGCACATCAATTGTTACGCGGGCCATTCACTCATCACCCCGCGTACCATTCACTCCAAATTGCAGGGACTGAAAGAGGTCCTAGAAGTGACAATGGTAACATGTAACCACGTTAGTTATATCTCTCCAATGTCACTGAAAATTCTTGATATTGTACCTCACCAAAACCTAACCTAGCTGTCCATCATGTGCCATGAAGAGAGAGCAAAACCTGTACCTCAAACGACTAAGGCGACCAAATCCACCAGCAGCTAAATCCCACGTTCCCTGTGTCATATTTGCCTCGCAGAATTGCCTTCACTGTACAGTACCTAACATCCCAGTGTCTCCTGTTCTTTATTCTCAATGCTCTATTACCATACGTACTCGGATTGCGTCGCTGGTCATGGTGCGCAAGGCCGTGGGAGTGAGACCGGTGAAGGAGCTCGGTTCGAGTTCCTTGATCCTGTCCGGTTGAATGCCTGCAAACACCACGCCCATTTCTCGCACCGAAAAATGACGCCGTAAGAAGTGGCAGGCGAGACAAAAAAACGAACAAAATAAAAAAAATTAAAACCACCCCAACCGCCCAACTAAAAGAAAAAAGTAAGAAAAAAAAAAAACCGTTGAACAAACAAAGAAGCCAAAAACGCAAAAAATAAAACCAAACTAAAAAACAACGTGAACCAAAAAATCCCCCAAACCCCCCAACTGCTAAAAGAAAATCCAAACAAAAAAGAACGCTGCATACAATTGCGTCAGGTACGTAGACCGGCAATGAACGATAAAAGGAAGCGGTCAGGACAACAACATAAGTAAAACACACGGAATCCATCTACTGACATCATCGCGCATGTTATCTTCTATTTATGAATTATCATTTGCATTTAGAAGCACTAATACTATGCTAACTTGTTTTAAAATGCCAACATCAAAACGTAATACGAAACCCAGCAAAGCAATACATTCGTAAACTAAAGACCAATTAAGATCAACGCCACAAAATACAAAATGTTTTTTGACAGCCTAACATTGATATCCGTCAACAAATAATGGTTGTATGGTATCATCATGGTGGCTTCATAAGACACGTTAGAGTAGTACACAACTAGTTGTAATTGTAACAACTAGTTGTTAGTTGTAATATAATAATATTAATATAGCGGTTTCAGTGTTTATTAGGTCGTAGGCCCTTAGTCGATAATTAACATTGCAGAACATGCGGGCATGAACTCACAACTCACTGCTTTAAATTTTCTTTGCTTAACCGCTAAGTAGTGTGTAACAACTAATCCTGCCGAAGCGAGCAACCCTGATAATGGATGACACTAAAGCTCTCCCCCGATGCATGACCGTCGGTGGCAGAAAAGGCTTCAAAGCAGATGTTTCTACAAAATTCATTGCAGTACCAAAAAATTTTATAGAATTTTTCCCTTAACAGCCTGGCCTCCTTGCCGATTCTGACCAGAAACTGGCGCACAGAGCGGGGTTCGAACCCACACCACTCTGCTCCAATCCTGGTACTCTGAACTTTAACAGTTTAACCACAGAACCACCCCGCCTATCTGTAGTTGTAACAACTAGTTGTATGTCAAAATTTGTTGAGCAATAAGTAACCTGAATGGTAAATCTACATTACCCGGGCCTTGGAAATCGGGCGTGGGTAGTAAATGAGAGCTTTTACAGCAAGAGGCGCCAACACATTCTCTCTACTGCACCCTTCCAAAGTGACCCCAAGGAAGGTTAACGCGTTTCTGCAATTATTAAATAATTCTAACCAATTAATCAATCAATATGGTGGACGTAAGCGATAGTGATATCAAAACAATAATATGGATCTGCGACTGCAGGATCACCATTCGTGACGTGCAATTCTTTGAGAATCAATTCAATACAACCTGATTTTTTTAGTGAAAAATTAACAATTTTTGAATGCTACCTTCACAGCTAATTAGTGCGGATAAAATAAAAAAATTTAGCAAGAAGCTCACCCAACTCGCTCTGCACTAAGCTCGTTGATAAGGGAGGCGTTGGTGGCACACAAGAGGCGGTTGAACATGGCGAGCTGATTGTCCGCCATGCTGTTAAGTGGCCGCCATGTCGTGAGCACCCTCTCTGCATACGCTCGGAGCTGTTCAGTAATTGAAATGTAATACCAGGCTTCTGGATTAAATTGATTTTGTAGAGAATGAGTGAGAACGCACGCTAGTTTCCATGAATGAACTTGTTTGCGGCGCCACCAGGAAAAGTCGTATAGAACAACAAATGTAATTGAGTGAACAGAACGATGAAGATAAAATTTTAAACCAAAAAAGGGTTATGCGCATTGCGCATAGTTAGGTTTTTATTTCGTTATTAGTATTAGGTTGAGGACAGATGTAGGGATGGGGAAGGAAACCGGTCAGGGCTTTAATTGGGTTACTCAGAGAAAAGATAAACAGGTAATTGTACAAAATTTGAATTATTTTCATTTCAAGTATTTTAAAAATGAAAATAGAAGCACATTATAGAAGCACAAAAGTCTCTATTTGCGTTTTCCGCTCATATGTGCATGTTTGTTTTTAGTACTGACGAAGGTTGTAATGATATCGGTGAGGATGATGTGCGTTCATTGCTCTTTTACTCAAGGCTTGGAGAGAATAGATTTGGATTTAGGTTGAAGAGTTCAAGCCTCTACGACAAAGACCTCTCAAGTCTCAATAATTCATTCGTCCTCACTGTGCGTTCCTCGCGGTGTTTTACCAGTCTGTCAAAGTCGTCAGGGTAGTTGCACTTTGACGGATAGTGGAAACCGACGTCCAGGTAGAGTAGACACCACGTGTAGCGCCGTTGTAGTGATATTGGTGGTATGGTGACTATGGGTAGGTTTGAGTGACGTCGAACCATTATTTGCAGCTTTTGGTAAACGGTGTTGAGGAATGAGAGTGCTTGGCGCGAAGGTGTGTTGGTCGAAGAACTGGCAGCCGTATGATTAGATGACAACATTTATACAACAATGTTTTGTGCTGTTGTTGGAGCACTAGGTCCTTTTTTGCTGCTGATCAATTGCATTCTTTATCATCCGGGTGTTATGGAAAGTTAGTAATGGGGCGAGGTTGTGAGAGTGGAAACAAATGAGGGTGTAGGGAAAACAGATACCCGTGTAGACTTGTGGTGGAGGAACCATGCGATTTTCAATTCTGATGGAAGTTGTCTTGCCTGTGAGATAGTCTGCTATTATTTTGTAAAGGACGTGTGTAGGTTAAGTTGTATCATTTTGCAGCCCAAAATCATGCCGAAGGCCAATGTCACGTCATGGAGTTGAAGTTTAGACAATTCAGCAAAAGAGTTCGTGTTGATCCCCTTCCCGAAAAAAACTCATTTAGAGGAGTCTTTGAAACCCTTTATAATATAAATTATTCATTTCGTTAATGGAACTCATTATATTACAGTACAATTGAGAGATAAAAACGAAAGCACAGCGAGCAGCGGGCACCGTAAAGACTGTCAAGTCAGCTTAATAATTGCTTAAAGTCACGTTTGCAATCGGTAAGAGTAACTCTTAGACAAGCTTTAACCGCCCAATGGTTACAATACAAAATGAGCGTTGCACAGCAGCACTTGTTCGTAAGACTTCGTTAGATTACATTGTTTAAAATGATGCAGCGTTTAATTTTTCAGCATGGATGCATATCTCATTAATTCGTCTTTTTCATTTCAGCGTCGTTTGTTTCAACTTTTTGTCTACCAGAATTATTAGTCGTTCTTACGAATCAGTCGCGTTGTGTCGTTCAATAAACAACTACTATAACTTTTGTAGTTTCTAAAAGTTAGAAGCGTCTGTCAGTATTTTTCGTCTTTATTGTAGGTCACGCTCGTCTGTCGCAACCCTATCGGTATTCGGGGTAGTGGTCAGCTTCTTAATTAGGGACACCTTGACCTCGGTTTAAACGTAAATTAACGGCTCTATTTGTCGACTTTAAGTTTTGGTTGTCCGAGCGAAATAATGGCCTGATCAGAATCTGGTGTATTCCAGCTGGTCCAGCTTCTGACCAGGGCCATCATAAGGCAGCCTACGCTCACTAGCGTCTGTCTATATACATCATGAAGTAGCCTGACTAGCTGTTCATTTCGGTTATATTACGTAGATTGGGCCCACCGGGGTATCGTCTTCCGAACGAGGCTGCTAATGCTAAATAGCGACCAAATATGTATAGGTGGCCAATTCACGCCTGATTAACCTATAACGCCATAGATGGCAACCCAAATTGGAACGAAACTTTATACTGGGAATCCGTGAACACGGACCTTATGCAAAGGTTGGTACCGATTTATCGTCATTTAACTTGAGGTACAGCTGTTCGTCTTAATGAAGTATTATGATATGACCTTACCTGCTCGTCGTAGAATTTCATCTTTTCGTTGCCCAGGACGGATACAGTGTCGTAAAAGAAGACAGGAGGGGTGAGAAACGGGAGATCACGAATTCCGTGGGCCGGAATGCCTTTCATGATGTAGTTCATGTCACGCATGAGGTCATTCGTGAGGTTCGACCAGGAACGTAGCCTCAGTGATTCTCGTACTTTGTACGCCAGGATCTGTAAACACGAAGAGAAATGAGAATTCGAAAGCTTGAAATGAATGAAAGGTCATTGAAATGAATTCGAAGGGTCATTAGAATTATTGAGAGAAAGTTGAAGAATGCTGAAAATTTGAAGAAGATATTTTCATTTGAGCCCTTAACATTTAGCTCGAACTAAATCTTGTATCATTCAACTAAATTATTGAAGTTTTAACATAATCATAAGGGATCGATCTTCCCATGACAATTCAACAGAAAAGAATTAACCTATTGACACCCTACGAAGAAACTTTAGTTTTAACAATCAATAAGGTGGTTTTGATGGTAACTTCATATGTTACTTCTTCTTCGCATGATCTAATATGCACCCCAAGGTTATCCACCACCCTTGCCAACACATATCAGCATTATTGTGAAGACCCTATGTCGAGCTCTTGATCGGGTTGAGTTCCAATCTTATAGAAACACTGCTGTGTATCTGCGCCATGCGCATACATAATATAAATATTGTAGTTGAGCAATACTAACCGAGGCTTTGGAGTCGTCCATGTATCGAGACCCTAGGGCACCAAGGCATTGCATGATGGTGTCCGGGGTTGCGTTGTTCAGTTCGCCGTTGCTGATATCGTCCACGCCGCTCACCGACGCGCGATTACATAGCGCGATGTCGCTGAAAGCTGAGCGGAATTACAGACTTAATTGTGGATCATACACCCAAATAAAAAATTAGGAGCACTGCATCGTCTTACTAACAACGCCTCAGTTACGTCAGAGTTAAACAGTAGAGTTAATTAGAGTTAATCATGGTATTAATAAACAATTTAAAGGCATCCCGGTGTCTTTTTAGCAACACCGGGATGTCTTTTTTATGCATGTCATTTCAATCAAAAATTCTTACAATATACCCTCCTCACATCGTTTTCGCCGGCCGTTGGGGTTGTAGTTGGGAATGGTGTAAGGGTCAAGGATGTCTAGCGCCGCCCAGGTTTGCACGCGTCGCACGTTTTCGCGCTGCCAGATCTCACCGTCGTAGTCGTCGCCGATGTAGTTTCGGCATTCTATCTGTTTAAAGTGAAATGGTCTCTAGTTATGTTTAGTATAATCATGTAAAATCTCATATTCGTTGCGTTGTGCGAAATTGTGTAAAATTTCATTACCAGTCAAAATTCCTAGGCGTTTCAGCGACAATTAAGCACGAGGCAGAAAATCATGTGCGCAGAGAGGGCTAGTGACCGTCTTGCCCAATAGTGAGTGGGCCGGTAGAATAGAAGATGAGTTGTGTGGCGCTCCTGATAAAATGCTTCAAATCTCCAATGTAGTAATCACTCAATGTAAAATCAATCTTTCAGATTTTTTTTTTGCCCCGAAGTCCTACTTAAAATGTTGTTCGATGCTCAGTAACGCAGTACGGGGATCAAAATCTTGAAGTTTTCAGCTTTATCGTGATATTGGTTTTCTCTTGGCCAGGCTGCGTCTCAATCGTTTTGAAACCTTCATTATTAATTAATATTACTTTATTAACTGATGAATAGATACGTTAATCTATATATGACACAACGAATTAAGTCCCCTCTGTCAAAATTTAGACGCGGCTATAGTTCGTTTTTCGGTTGCCGCTCTCGGATTGGAGATGAATCAGACATGAGATGTCCGCCTCCCCCAATCAGCCTCCCAAATGATTCTATTTTGGGTAGTTCCATGGTAAAAAATATAAGGGTCAAATGACACACGAAATCAGTGGCTGATCAGGCCACCATTGGCTTGCCCTGCTCATGCAGTAGCTGGCATTAGTTCTTAGCGCGAGCGTGACAAGCCTCTGATTCAAAACCTCATATTCGATGTAAGAGTAATAGTTTCTAAACGCGTGGGTTTCACCACTCATGCATTGCGTGTACGACAACGTGTGGGCGTTACGTTTTCTTGAGTTGAACGTTTTTTTTGCTCACGCAAACCGCTTCAAAACTTTTGGGACAATATTTTGAAACGAAATTTTTGGGTCGCGCCAGCGTTTGCGAGAGGTTCATTACGCGTGCAATGTTTATCCATCGGCACGCAAACATTACGCGTGCTAACACGCGTGCTTTGCGTTGTCTTCGACCCGCATGGCCCGCATTCATGTCAAGACGCTTGCGATACGTTTCAGTGAACACTGTAACGTTACTCTTGTGAGAACTCCCTTACGTTATGTGTACATAAACACGCGTGCATCGCTTATACGTCGAGATGCGTGTATTGCGTGTGTTCACTAAACATCAACGTTTCAGAGGCAGGGGTACCAAAACAATCCCCTTTATACTCCCTAATAAGGAGTGGGAGGTTAGTTATCAACTACCCGGCTAGCGAAAAAGCGGTGGGAGGTAGTTTGGACTGCGCAGCGCAGGCGCTGATCTTGAATTCTTGAGCAGTGATACACTGTTCTTCGTCACGTGCGGATGTCGGTTGATGCACGCATCTCATTCGAATTGTGTAATCTTATCGTGTATAGTGAATAAGTGAAGTCACAACTCAGTGTTAAAAACTGAATTTAACCGTTTTTGACATTTTCAGCAATACAAATTTCTTACTTTTTGCTGTCCAGCTTTCTCAAGTGAAGTTCGTTGCACTTCTCGTCGGGAGGCGGCATTCATTATGACTACCTACTCAATTTGAATTGTGCGTTCAAGATTTTAGCAGCGGTTGGAATTTTCAACTTTTGGCATGTCGACACGAGCATTTTATTTAAGCTGCTCCTGTTCATATGCTCAAGGTTATTATTTCTAAATCAACGCGTCAACTGGATCAATTTGTGTAGTCGGAACTCGAAAGTTCATCATTGCCTAGGAAGCTACCTAACCAGCAGTCGACACCACTGGGCGGGCCAGCTGAACAGAATGGAACAGGTTGCAGAGCGTATACCGATTATTCGCAAGTAAGTTAGTTGCTTTTCATCCGTTCTATCTACTCTATTTCGTTGTATCAACAGGTTTCATTATGGAGTTACATTCAAGTATAAGGATGAATTTGGTCATTTCTGAAGAACTACAAATTATACGTAGATTCAGGAAATTTCCATCGAGCTCAACAATATTGGAACGGTATTAGACGTTAGAAATGCTTCTATTCTTCATTTTTCAGCAGTTTGCAAGCCGTATTTTCAGACCCCGGTAAAATTTTTTGCTAGACGAATGGTTTCTTCAACCAAAGAACTGTTCAGCTTTGGGCATATGTCTGCATGCATGCTTGAGAATGCAGACATATGGAAATTAAGCCTCCTATTGACTTCTGATCTTAAAACTAAGCGAGTAGTACTAGACTGCATATATATACATACATAGGTATATATATAGCGTTCAGAGATTCAAATGGCCCCTCCCTTCCAAGTGGGAGAAGGGAGGGGGTATTTTTTTACGCATTTTTCAGATTTGGCCGTGTCTGTCCCGTACGTATCAGGTACCAAACACGCGCGCCCCACGATTGCTCAAAGCTCGACAGGCATTTCACAGATTCTGTTTCGGCACGTATTTCGCTCCGGCAACCGGAACCTAAAGCGGACATAGAGCCGCTAATTTACACCGCCAGGCGCGCTTGTGGCGTTCTTGTGCCAGCGGCTGACAGGAATAAAAGTTTCGATAGGGTATTTCATTGAATTTAGCAGATGAAATAAAGACAATTTGGAAAAAATTTAACACGGTAATTAACCTTGAAAATTTAAAATTGACATTAACATCGAAGTTACATCTATTACACGTAAATGTGTCCATTAAATTTAAACATAAAGATTAAATGGTAAATTGATGTTAAATGCACCTAGGTTATAATTTTTCTTTGAAATTCTATATCACGTTAAGGACGAATTAAAAGACTTCAGAAATGAGGTGTACTATTCCAGATTAATTAAAATCAATGTTAAATTATTATTATTATATTATTAAATAAAATTGTCTGAATCAAAAACTCACTCTCAAATATTGTAACTTTATACCGAAACATGGAGTTTAGTCGCTGCAAAGATGAATAAAATTAAATCTAGTTATACAACACAATTTACGAAAGCAAAAGTCAATAAGTATGGAACTAATTAGTTACAGACCTGCCGGGCCTCGTCCTCTGGGGCGCACTGGGCGCGGTCGGCGATGTGGCACCGACAAGACATGAGGGCCCCGCGGGGGATGCGGCTCAGCGTCCCCGACGGCAGCGTGTACAGCAGGCAACACAGCCCCGACATTTGCCGCCATGTCTGCGGGTTGTCGCTGGTTTGGGAAAGTGGAATATTGGCTTTAATTTGTTCATTCATTAAGCTTGATTTGTATTATAAAATTGGAAGGCTCATTAACACTATAGTTGTTGGACAATATTTACACATATCTAATATTCATTCTTTCGCGCATTTTATTCTCAATTATCAGCTTAGCACAAAATTTCAGTCATGACTATTTTATAGAAGTAAAAGCTTTACATTGCAAAAATTTACATTATACGATAAAATGCTAGTATATTTAAGATAGTCAATTGCGTCGTAAGATAGCTTGCAGAGAATCATGCTCTACTTTAATTCATACTCTAAACAAAATAGGTCTTTTTACATTTTTTTATAAACTGATTTGCTAGATCAATTTTTGTGTTTATTTCAGCGAAATATGACATTACCGCAAGTTTAAATCGGAAGTGATCTTGGATTTATTTCGTATTTTAGTTTCACATCTATGGTTCATTTCTCTCTTTCTCTCTTTGTAGAACTTTTGATAGTATTCGATCATTTCCTTTTGAACTTGAATATACCCAGTTTCTCTTTTGCTTGATATTAGTATTTTTTTCAAAAAATCTAACTAAAACATTATCCTTTTGTGTAACTTCTACTTCCCTGCAGGCGTCTGACTTTGTTAAAACAACGTCGATTACTAGTCGATTTCAGGTAGAATTTTGATCAACCAAAATAAAACATAGAATCAACGACGAAACGTGACCACCACACAAAGAGAGGTAAAGCAGCCTTATTTCAGCATTGAAGCAACGTCGATCTTGATGTATTGAATTGAATCTATT